ATTGATTTATATCAAAAATGTATCCAAAAGTAGAATAAAAACGGGAATTTTATTGTAATCCTCAATTGAGTCCACGTTAATGTTGGAACGATTTATTTATCTAGGTGAAAGTCGAGGCTTGCGAATCTCTAAATCGTATAATTTCGCTTTCACCTTAACAATCACATAAATTTCGTGAAATTCTTGGTCGATGTTAGTTACCCCTTTTTCCAAGTTATAATATAATAATATTCGCGATTGTCATAACTTTTTTAAAAAAGTATATTGCGTAATGAATAATTTGGTAATACATTTTGATGCAAAAAAAATCGGCAGTCGTATTGAATTGATACTGTATCAGCTTCAGATGAAATATTTGGCTAAGCCATTCTGATAATTCTCAGGACACTCAAAATAGGCTCTTCCAGATTCAAAAATGTGTAACAGCTTGATGTTAAAGGCTCCATCTTGTCGGGCATACTTTTTACAGTTTCTATCTTCCTCTAGCACAAGAAGTCTCAGAAATAATTGTATTCAGCAAATCCTGTCTATACCTGAATATTTCATACTTTTAAAAAAATGTTTGAATTTCTCTTTCTTTCTGAAAATCTTTTTACGGGTCACATCAATTTCGTAACACCTAAAAATTTGTCCTTATATACAGAATAAAAATCTATTTGCCTACTTATTTATACATTTGTAATTTATGACGTAAAAATTTCAACCTGCAAGATGAGGGTTTTGCATACTAGATATTTCCCCTTTATGGGTATGAATAATAAATGAACCTATATTTTGATTCGTGAATACTATTTTTCTCCTTTAAATATTAGTTGATTAATTAGATATTTCCCTTTTGCTTTACAAAGTATATATATATATTTTTCTGAGAGGTGATTTTATTTTCTCTTATTTTTATTAAATTCATAACTACTTTATGCTAGGACGAGGTATTATAAAATAACTAGCATATAACCCGTCATATATTTCTCCTTCATTTGATGATGAATGAATCAAAAATGTGATGTGAGTCAGAAATATAACTTTATTTTGATGCGAGATGATTCGTGAATTTCTATTATTTTAAATATCTTAACACAGCATATTAATACCTTCAATCAAGGACCCGAACCTTTATTTATAACAGTTCAGTACTGTTCAGTATGCAAAAAATTATAATGGTTACGGTTCTTAAGATTTATAAAGTTACGGTTCAGCTAAATTGTAAAGGTTCATTATGATTAAAAAAATTTTCCTAAGTTTTTTATTGAAGCAACACCATCGTGTAAATGATTTTAATTATAAATATTATTTATTAAAATTATTTCCATCACTATTTATTATTTTTTATTTATAAAATAGATGAAATTAATTATTTTATTATAAGTATCTATGAATTTATATAAAAAAATATATAAGAATCATAACTCATTTCTAAATTATTATTTGAAAGTATAATTAATATATTTTCTAATATAAGTGGATTCATTTTGTTCATTATGGCGATAACACAAATTTGGCCCCGAAAAAGCCTTTTTAACTGAAACTTGTGGCGGGAACCGCAAGTACTATGAGCAAGTTTATCTAATTTTAAATTCAAATTTCTTTGATTCCCAATATATAAAAACGGATGATTTTTTAGATTAATTAAATGCAACTAAATCTAAAATTGGTTATTTAGATATTTTGCATATTAATATATAGGAAATAGGAATGCTCTAGTACTATATAAAGCAGTTAAAAGATTGTGGATCAATTTAAGTCATATTGAAAAATTAATACTTCATATTAAACAAATATTTTGATCATTTAATAATTATAAATGAGGCAGATATTGTAAAATATATAATAGTAATACACCCACCACAAGGAAAAGAATGTAATAAAATGTAAAATTATTTATTTTATTTTGGCTGAAACCGGTTCAAACTGGTTTAACTAAAGGTTCTTTTTACTACTTCAAAAAATGGTTACGGTTCAGATATTTTTAAAGGTTTATAACGGTTTAGCGGTTTATTTTGGTTCACTCCGGATCCTTGCCTTCAATAAGGCAAATAATTGATACACAATGTTAAATATACTATTTTAAATTTATCAATTTCATAATTTGTTTATATGCATAATAAAAAATCTTTTTGCTTACATTTTTTTCCCTTTTTATATGTAAATGATCTAAAACATTTAATCTTGCTAGCCCAGGTTTATAGAGCAATAATAAGTTATGCAATCGAAAATAAATTATGCAAAACCTCACCTGGCATTAAATTTGTAAAAATTAGCCATTAATCAAACATTTTAATTTTTCTGACATTTTCAGTATTGATTTCTTAATTGTGATAGTCATTTTGTTTAAAATTTCGTAAAGCTAGAGCTATGCCGATATTTGGCGATCAAATATTTTTATTGATTTTGGTTATTTTATGATATGTATAATATATATATTATTTTATTTTATACTTAATAATAATAAATTAATAAAACGAACCAAAATTCAATTTATTTGTAATGTTATAAAAAATTGAAATATTTCAAAAGATAGGTAACTAAGAATTCGATATTATTTTTTGTTATATTATCTGCAATAAGAAAAGGATTTGAAAATATTTAACAAGTCACATTAAGCTTGCGTTCTTTAACGGCTCAATTTATTCGATTTTTAAAAGCAACTAACTCCAGATGTTAGCCAAAACTAAATTAGCCAAGCTTGGAGATTTCGCTCACAGATGGTAGAAAGGTTTGGATCTATTGGCAACATTTCGAAGTTTACTTAATAATAAATACACTTATTTGTGAATGTTAATTGGTTTTTTAATAAAAAATATTGATTTTTTTTATGAAATTGGTTCAAAGATAGATGATAAAAATCAATATAAATATCGGTTTCGGATCAGTGTAATATCGAGTTGGATCGGAAAAATTGTGAATCAGTACAGCCCTATCTAAGACCCTAAATTAAAATAGAATATCCAATAAATTAATTTTTAAAATTTATCGAATTATTCATTATTCGATTCAATCAAAAACGACTGCTTAAATTTGAAATTTACGAAATTGAATACGAATATTTTTAATTCTTTCTATTCTTTTGAAGCCTTATAAATAGATTATTCATTTTATTATAAAAATTGCGTGTTTATTTTAATTTACCAATAATAATTTATAAACTTAAATCTAAAATGAAAATGTTTACTTAAATGAATTGAAGCTGCTTATAAAATTTTAAACTATATTACTATTACAAAATTTTAATTTCCAATATAAGAAAGGATTACACAAGATTTATTTTAATGAACATACATTTATAAAAAATAATTTACACTTTTTATTTAAAATATAATAAAATAAAATATAGTTTCATGCTAAAGTTACCTTTTTCAATAACTAGTTTAAATTCTTCAAGAAAGTTAGATGTAGTTACATGAAGCTAATTGCCAAAAGCAGCTGTTTAATTTATCAAGTTCTCAATCATATGAAACTAGCCAAAACCAGCTGTTTAATTTATCAAGTTCCCAATATTTGAGAATTAATTTTTATACAATTTCTTGGCTTATTGTTCAATCGAGTGTTATGATTTTTTATATTCATAACCGCCTTTTTTGTCCTTGATATTTTAATAAACATATATATAGATAATAAATATATAGTTATAATTGATGAACACTTAGACTGTGTCCTTATTGCTTTTTAAAAGTCTAATTAGTGAATTGTAGATTTAAAAATAGGAATAAGTGCACAATAAGCTTATTTTAAAGATAACATCACCAAGTCTAATTAGTGAATTGTAGATTTAAAAATAGGAATAAGTGCACCATAAGCTTATTTTAAAGATATCATCACCTTATGTTAAAATCTATCATTTAAAAAACCAAAAAATGGTGAACAAGATGTTTTTCTGAATAGAATTCATAATGAAAAACAAAAATTAAATCAAGCTAGGACGCGGCCTTAGTCCTTATATAAAAAGTATTAAATAAATTAGTTTAAAAAAGATTCAAACATTTAATTAAAATGTTAATTAAACTACCAATTTCCTTTCATTATCTCCTTCATAATAATTGGGTTAGTCAAGATTTTAGAGCCTAAAATATCTAATAAATCAAATATATCTCTTTCTTTTACGAAGTTCCATCGAACATGTTCCATAAATTTTGTTATCAGTTTTGAATCTTTTTTAAATTTTATATGGTTTGGTGAAACGGCTATCCAATTTAATATCAATAATATAACCTGGAAATACATATATAATAGTTATTTATTATATATCTGATAAACTTCAATTTCTACCAATATCGGTAGGTCATCTCTTGATAAAAAATGACAAAAAGTACGAGGGGTCATATTCACATAACTACATTTATCATAATACTCGTTATCCTTTATTTTATAATAATCTTTAAAGCCATATTCTATCATTTCTTTAGAGTCAGTTTTGATAGCAGCATCGAGCGTAATCAATATATTTTCTTTTTCCACCAATTTATTCAAAATATTTTTGATAAGAAATAATAAATATTTTATGCCTAATTTTTCAGCGCATGCCTTAACGGCCAAAATGTTTCTATTTTTAAAAAATGTTTAGTCTTTCTATATAGTTATAATTAGCTATAATATACCTAATATTTAGATTTATATCACCAAGATAACAGTATTCAATTATTAGGAAATCATGTAAATTTATTGAGTTTAATGATTGGTTGTTTGATTTAGATTTTGTTTGATCAAAATATTTTTCATTCAAATATTTTTTTTTTTCTTCACTTTTATCTAGAAAATATTCAGATATTCCATGACACGCCAATATTAGCGAATGGATATATATATAATCACTTATTATCTCTTTTTGTGGCTCTTCATTTAATTTATTTATTTTAACCAATATATCGGCTCCGCAAGACCAATATTTTCCCCGCTGACTTCTTATCCAAGTTCTTTTAGCGTATTCTCCAACTAAGGAAAAATGGCGAATTTTAAAGCGCGTTTCATTCATATTTTAATAATTTATTGTTTTATAATAAAAATAGGCGTTGGCTGATATTCTTCAAGAACACATTATGAGAAGAGAACCTTTTTCCAACCAGATGCGTTTAACTTGCCCGCATTGTATAAATCCTGTGTGTTTGAACATGAGAAATTTTTTTGAATCCCAATACTCATAATGCCAGAAATCTCCATGATGCGAATATAATTAAATTAATATAGACATTTTTATAAATTCTATAGATAAACGATAATATATTTATGTTATGTATTTTATAAAATTTATTGGCAATCATTCCAAAAATATTTTTTATATATCATATTCTACAAAATTTTTATGTTTTAAATTTTTTTTTTACCACTTTCTTTGATTAGATCGTAAATATTTCTTTAGGGCCTAGTTTATGGTAAACGTGTTTTGTTCAGCAGTGCGGTATTTAACGCTGTGTTATTTACAAAATAATTTATTGATATGGAACGAAATAATGATAACTCTATGATTAAATTTGAAAAAAAATATGTTTCTGTGCGATGATAAAAAATGCGATACAATTATAAAAATGCATTCGATAAAAAGTATATATTTTTAATTATCTATTTTTATATTAAAAAATATTATCACTATGACAAATTAATTTCTATAGCGTTAAATACCGCACCACTTGAGCAAAACTTGTTTACTATAAATTCAGCGTAAGGCCTTTAATGTTAAGATAATACTAAAATATAATTAACAGTCATTCATAGACCCATAGGCATCGAATTCATGGGAGCTTCGAAACTCTTGCCCCCCGTAAAAAAATATTAAAAAATATGCATTTTTTCCATAAAAAAATTAATCTTTGAAAAGTGAGATTATATAGAAACAAAAAATAAAACCATTTTATTTGTATACTATATTTAGCATTATGACTATAAATACTGCATTTCTAAAAAAGCAATAATTAAAATTTTATGACTAAATTTATTCTTAAAATTTTTAGAAACATGTAATTTATTAATCAATTTTATCAAATAAAATCTAAATAATTTATCTACTATATAAAAAATCATTATATATCATATTTGGGAATCCGAATTATTATTTCCTTAGAATAGGTTTTATTTTAATATCTGAGTTAATAATAGCATACTTATAAGGCACACTTTACTAGCGTTATTGATCAAAAATCTTAATTTTTGTTTTCTATGTCTGTATTTACGTGTATAACATTCCAAAAATTCTTAAAATATTGTGATTTTACCTATTGGCAACCGTATAACTGAATAAATACTTAATTGCTGGCCTTTTTTTTTAATGGTTATATTTAAAATAATTTCACAATTAAAATATATTCTAATACCACCCATCACACCTGCAAAATTGAGTAGACAAAGCCTGGGGAAACACACAATTAAGTGGCTCCCACCACCCAAAAAAGGGCGGATCCAGTGCAGTGGATTTGCATCCACATTTTTGGCAGTAATTTACCCTACTATCAGGGCCCATTTAATTTAAGAGAGCCTACGTTATCTCTTGTGGATAAAGCTGGTATCCACTAAATTGATAAAGATATAACTTAATAGTAGGGTAAGAATTAGAAATTTATATTTAGTAAGAAAAAAAGGTGTTATTAAAGATATGTATACAAGAAATAAGTAATAATGATATAGGTAATAGAAGTCTAGACTAAAAGGAAATAATTGGTAATTTGAAATTTTTTTAGATTAAATTGGAAAAAATTAAGATTTCGTATTTGTTAGGTAAAAGAAAAAGGACACAAAGCCTTTATTAGTCACTAATCCAATTCTTAAATATTTTATGATTGACATCTTATTAATTTATACATTATATGATTGTCATTTGATATTGAATAATCTGAGACATGTAAACATTATTTGAATGCCATTTGATATATATAATTTAAAAATACAAAATTACAACAATATTTAAAAGTGAAACATCCCCAAAAATATTGTGGTTTGACCTACTGACTCATAAACATAGTTTACTAAAAATTTGGAGGTACCACATTGCTGGCGCTATCCTTTGAAAAATTACTATTTTTGTTTTATATCCATAATTGCTTATAATCCCAAAAAATGTTTTTAAAATATTGTGATTTGATCGATTATCGATTCATAACCAATGACACATTGTCATAACGGACCATATGCCTAAATATAAATACTGACGTTATTTCGTGAAAAATCTCCATGTTTGTTTTCTACGTTATTTAGGTGAAACATTCCAAAAATATTATGATTTGATTAATTCCAACTCATAACCGACCGCTTTCTAAAACTTTGAAGGACCCACATTGCTACCGTTATCCATTAAAATTTTTTTTATTTTCTATCATTAATTACGTATAAAACATTATTACAAGAAATATTTTTATTTGATCAATTATCGACCTTATTAAATATAGCATTGCTGGTGTTATCCATTAAAAAAATCTTCATTTATGTTTTCTATCTACGTGTAATGACCAATTCTGACTCATATCCGACATCTTATTTATGGGAAACATCGCCAGACCATCAAAAAAAAAATTTCCCACATTTAACATTATCCTATAAAATCAAGAATATTTTTATTTCAAATTATCCTATATCTAGAAATACAGTTGGTTACAATCGGAAATTTAAAATAATTGGGATAATTTTTTACTAGTGTTGTGAACGCACGCGTTCGGTTCCTTTTATTTTTGACGAACTTTGAACGTGAACGCGTTCCTTTTTTATGACGAACGCGTTCGAATTTAACGTCGTTCAATTTTAAAAATATTTTTATTTTTTTGAAATTATATTTTTTAATCGGCTGTGTATTTCCTTTTCACATTATAATTTTTTTAACACATAGTTTATTAATTTGAATATTATTGTTTATATTTTAATTTAATAGATTAGCATAAGCATGGATATATCCTCATCATCTGATTCTGAAAATCCAAAATCAGATGAATTATCATTACTATGGCCAAATATGATAAATGTTTCACATTAACATCCTATATTGAAGAAACTAATCCAATGCTTACCAAGTGTAAAATGTGGCCAAAAAGTATTATATTATCAAAATCTTCAGGTTCCAATTTAAAACGACATTTGAGTTTAATATTAATTATTTGATTTCTCAAGCCCGCCAAAGACCATGATAATTTTGGTAGTTAAGAACTGAAATAAAATATGTAAAAGTCATAATTCATTTAAAAATACAATCATATAGTTGCATGAGCCTTGGTTTTTTAATCAGGCCTAGCTATGTCTGCAAAAAAAATTTTATAGGCCAATGTCTAACCCATATTTAAAATTCAAAAATCTTCAAGCATCTCTATTTTAAATTTTATCCAATGATTTCCATCACAAATTAAAATTTTGATATTTCTAAAACTCTTAATGCTCACTATATTTCAACAATTTTACCTCTTTTCTCCTAAATTTTATTTTTATAAAATTTATTAATAAAATATATTTAGTACCATACACACAAACTAAATAACTACCCTTCAACACAACACCGTCAGCTAGTTATGGTAATAAACGGCAAAATTTTAAAAATATGCTATTAATTAATATATATATAATTAATATTTTAAATTTAATTATATTCAAGTTGGTGCATGGCTAAAGCATACGCTGGTTCGACTCTCGTAGATAGCAAAAAATTAACATTAATTTAGTCTCCTTAAATTTTAAATACATTAGGGGAGATACGAAAACGATCTTGTTTTGATTATGGAGATTATATATATTAGATATGAGTATCAATTAAATTATATTTAATTTTAGGTCATTCAGTTTCAAAGATTTCAAACCCAACGATGCCCATAAACAAGTGCTTACTTTTAATTTATAAATCTAAAAATAACTATTTCTTTTTTGAAATATCAACCTTTTTTCACAAATAAAAATTTATTCTATTATTTAGTATTTGATTTAATAGTCCTAACTTAGTAGCTTCATAGCACACGTCTTTATTGTAAAATTAAAGAATTATGAAAATTTTCACAAGTTTTTTTTAATTTTTAAATATACTCCGTTTTTATTGTAAAATTAGTGAATTATTGATAAAAATAATTTCCACCAAAAATCCAGACGATCATTTATTTATTATTTTTTATAAAAAAATTTTAAAAATTTTTTAAAAACATAAATAAATAAAATATATTTAAAAAAATTTTTTTTTAAAATAATATTAAAAATTTCCCCGTGATTCAGTGAGTTACCAAATAATTTATCATTATAATTAGAATATAAGCGAATTATTATATCTTCCAAAATCATAATTTTAAAATTAAAATATCAGAATTTTATTCCTAACTTTGACAGTGCATTGCAACTTGCATTTAATAAAGCTATTTTACCTAGTGATAATGTTCTTTTCTTTGTTTTTACTAATTTAGTAAACAAACAAAAATAAATACTTTCTAAAATACATATTTCTCTATTAATAAAAAAAAGTAATGAAATATGCTTGAAAATTTTAAAATTTTTACACAAAATGGAGTACTCTTAAAGATAATAAATTCCACGTGAATTGACCAAAAATGTTTTTATATTGAAAATAAAAAAAATATATTATATGTTTTAAATAAATTACATGTTTTTTTTATGTTATATTCGGTTTGACTAAACTACAAATGCTAAGGTAAACTGCAAATGCCAAGGTAAACTGCAAATGCTTAGGTAAAATTTTTTGACATATTCTCTATTAATTGGAGCGAGGTTCATTTTTAATTTAATTATACTAAAGGATTTAAACTCTTTATTATGAGATAAAAGGAAATACAACTATTAATGTCTATTCATTTATTATTGAATATATCTATGAATACAATTTTTTATAAGTTATTTATAGAATAAGAAAATGAACCTCACTCCAATTAATAGAGAATATGTCAAAAAATTTTACCTAAACATTTGCAGTTTACCTTGGTGTTGCGTTATAATCTAATTCTTTTTGTTTTTTGCATTTGAATTTTTTGTAATCTAATTTTTATTATTTTTTGTAATAACTTTATTGCATAACCTTATTTTTATAACTTTCGACGTAACCTTACTTTTTATATTTTATAATATTTTTACTTTTTTGTTTTTCGTTTGTATTCTAATTTGGACTTATAAAAATGTATATATACCTTAAGAAAAGAAATTAGTTAATAAAATATATTTTTACTGACTCGTACCTCGCGCTATATCGTTAGTCTCCTTATTCTTTTCATGGTGCCCTGGCTCTGGGTGGTGGACTAGAAAAAGATGACTACCTAATCTTCTGAGATAACTATCTAACCTATGGAGACTGTTTAACCTATGGAGATGACTACCTATTATGACTACCTTATCTATTGTGACTACCTAATCTACTGAGATGACTATCTAACCTATGGAGACTGCTTAACCTATGGAGATGACTACCTATTATGACTACCTTATTTATTGTGACTGCCTAATCTATTGATATGACCAATGCCTAATCTATGGAGATGACCAAGAATCAAACCTTAGCACGTTCTTTCATGCAAAAAGCTTCTTTCTTCATGGTGTCCCGGCTCTGGGTGTTGGACTGGAATATGATAACCAGCACCTAACCTAATGTGACAACCTAGAAAGAACTGATATGGAAGTTGAACGATAGATTATGAATTCTATTTTGTGAGACCAATGATGATTACTAATTATTCTAAACCACGTAAGAAGAAAGGTTATTAAAAATTAAGATTTTATGCCAGGTTAAGGCATGTTATAAATTTTTAAAATCACTAAAATGTAAAATCTTAATGGATATATTTGAACACACAAAAAGCCTTTAAAAAATTATTACTTAAATTCTTAGTGAAATATTATTTTTTGATTTCTTGAATGATGACCAATTGTTGTAAATTAACAACTAATCCTAAAGATGAATTCTTAGATATTATTAAATATAAACCATTAGAAATCCTAAACAAGAAGATAAAACTTTAATTTTAAATATATTAAAATGGAATTAAAACATGAATTAAAAGGTTTAAATCACATGATAGATTTATATAACCCTTATAAGTAATACTTAATATGATAAAAATGTTTTTTGAAATAAAACTTTTGAAGATAAGTGGTTATGTTACATCTTCATTTTAGATAAATATTTAAATGATGTGATGAGATCATTTTCTAAAAATTATCTTATGAAGAATTTTTATTAAAAATAACACTTTTTGAATTAAAATTAGGGTGTGAAATTTAAATTTTTTATTTAAAGAGAGGGAAATGTGAATAATATTTTATTTGCATATTTTAACCTCGGAGATTGAAAATAAATAAAAATAAATTAATTACTAAAACGCAAAAATTAATTAAACACTAAAACGCGAAAAAATAAAAGTCATTAAAACGCGAAAAATTAAAACGCTAAAAATATAACAATCTTATTGATTTATCATTCTTCACTTATATTTTGATGAACTATTATTTCTTATTATTCGCAACTTACTGATAATAATGATTTTGAAAAATGATAATAATATCAACGTCACGATTTGTAAAACATTCGATATGGATATCAAGCTCACGATTTAAACAAAAACGAACAAAAATCGATTTAAACAAACCAACGATTGGGACAAGCCAACGGTATGATGATTTGTGATACAACTTGATTACTAAAACGATAAACCACTTGGACAACAAACTCTCTGTGTCTTCTCCGATGAAATTATCAGAAGAGGGAGAATGTTGCGTTATAATCTTATTCTTTTTGTTTTTTGCATTTGAATTTTTTGTAATCTAATTTTTATTATTTTTGTAATAACTTTATTGCGTAACCTTATTTTTATAACTTTCGGCGTAACCTTACTTTTTATATTTTATAATATTTTTACTTTTTTGTTTTTCGTTTGTATTCTAATTTGGACTTATAAAAATGTATATATACCTTAAGAAAAGAAAAAGAAATTAGTTAATAAAATATATTTTTACTGACTCGTACCTCGCGCTATATCGTTAAGAACCTTATTCTTTTCACTTGGCATTTGCAGTTTACTCAAACATGTGAAACCACCTTTTTAAATAATAATACAATATGATTTTAAAATATCCTAAAACAAAGAAAATTTGTATTTTTTTTCTTTAAATAATAATACGCCCACTTGCGGATTTGATATTAATGAAATTTTAAATGTAATTATAATTATTTTTAATTTATTTATATTAAAGGATTTAAACTATTTATTATGAGATAAAAGGAAATACAACTATTAATATCTTCATTTTTTATTGATTGTATCTAATAATATAATTTTTATAAGTTATACATATCATAAGAAAATGAATCTTACTCCAATTAATAGAATATATATCAAAAAATTTTACCTAAGCATTTGCAGTTTACCTTGGCATTTGCAGTTTACCTTAGCATTTGCAGTTTACCTTATCATTTGCAGTTTAGTCAAACACTGTTATATTTATTATTTTTAAATAGTTTAATTTATTTCTCTTTAGCTTTCACCTTTTCTGGTGGTAAGAAGCTCTTTCAATATCTCTCTCCATAAATTATTCATACTATCTCGTTTATCTAATTTATACTTCTTCATATTGGCTCTAACTTTATGTCCTCATTGAAATGTTGGCCTTCCTCTTTTACGTTTACCCATCACTTCCAAACTCTCAAATTTCCTATGTAGTTCATAGGCCTTCTCATTGTATGCCCATACCACCTAAGTCTGTTTACCATTATCTTAGTCTCAATGGGCACTACCTTTAAACTTCCTAGTATTCTTGTACTTCGCACCTTATCCTTTCTGACTCTTAACCTCAGGGTCGTGGGTTCGAGCCCCACGTTGGGGGTAATATTTTTAAGAATGGGGGTGACTGGAAAGTGTGTATCTATCTAACGTTGAGTCAGTGGTTCGAATCTCGTTGATGTATTTTTTTAAATAAATTTAATATTTAAAAAAAAAAGAAATTATTGAACTGAACTCTAAATTTTTAAAATTGGATGTAAAATATTGAGAGTTCGAAAGGTTCGGGTCATTTTTATCTTTTTTACATCCTCTATATGGTTTTATATGCTAAACGCTTTCCTTTCGGTTACACATCATTTCGGGTTATTGGGCATTTATCAATGAGCCTCGCGACAAATAGGCGTATATATATAATCTGGGAAATAAAAATTATAAAATGGAATTTAAATTGGGTAAAATAATATGCCGCTTGGATGCCACAACAAATCGTCACATAAATATTGCTTAATAAACTATTGATTAGATGTTACGTCAATTAGACGCGTTAAGTTTACCATGGTTAATTTTGCCATAACTCACAATTGCCGCAAATATTTGTCCTGGGAAAATTATGCCAATCGGTAATTTTTTATTATTACTAAAATTATTTATAGTATATATATATAAGAATATTATACCAAGCCTGAAATAATTCTTATATTTTTTATTTTAGAAAAAAATTGATATAAGTAATTTACTAAATAACAGAAGATGAAATATAATGAAAAATATTTTATGATACATTGGTGATAGAATAGCAGGGATGTAGCCCTTTAACAAAAAAGAGGGTTCACGTTCAGAAATAAAAAAGGGTTCCGGTTCAGGGTTTGAAGAGCATAAAGTAATCAGAGGTCTGCAAGGCCTGGTACGTTTCGGCCCGTTAAAAATTTTTGCATAAAGTGTCCAGCCCGGCCTAAGAATATTGCCAGACGCCTGGCCTGGCATGAAATCTAAAAAAAATTTACCGCCCTGGCCAAAAATTTATTAAAAGTCGACCAAGGTCCTTAAAAATTTTCACAGACTTGCAGGCCCGGCCCCTGAGCCGGACCGTATTTTAATTTTTTTAAATATACCCGGGCCGGGCTCGTAATTTTTTTTTTAAAAACACCCGGGCTGGGCCTGAAAATTTTTTAAGAAAAAATATCCTAGCCGAGTTGTATATTTTAAAACCAAATATTTGAAATCGCCATTATTAGCTATAAATATCAAAAATAAATATAATTTATTTTAAAAAATTCGGGCTAAGCCAGCCGGGCCGGGCCTGAAAATTTTTTTTAAAAAAAACCCGGGCCGGAAAAAATTTTAAAATAAAATCTGGGCCTGGTCCTGCAAATGGTACCACCTCTGCAAGGCTCTGTTATTCTTCTTAAAAAAGTGAATGTTCTCTCATTAGTTTACTAAAGAGCTGCTAATATATATATATAACCATTTTAATAATTGGGAGTATAATCTAAAATGTGTTTGAAATAAAAAGCATCCATAGCATTTTTTGGGACTGTATCAACCATAGTTAATCTTTTAATCATAGTTATTCAGCTAATAAGGCATCATAAGATATTTTAACATCTTCATGATAAAAATATAACAAATATTTATATTTTTTTTCTATCACCATATGAAAAAGGTTGGCATAGGGGACATTTGTTTTGTAATACTCTTCTACTGATCCTATATTAATGTTTTGACGATGAGCTTGCTTGCTGCAAGTCGAGGGGGGCAGATATTAAGCACGTATAGCTCTGCTTTTGACTCAACAATAACATATAAAATAGGAAATTCTTCAACAACATTAGCCCTAATTTCCTTGAGTTCTAATAAAATGCTCTCCGCTATTCTCATCTTCTTAATCAAGTCCATGTTATGTTTTTGAAAAGTATTACATAAAATAGTTGTATAATTAAATAATACATTTGAGAAAAAAAATTTGGAATAAGTATTGAATCCAATAATTTTCTTGCTTCTGAGGAAATATTTCTTTCAAGCCATTGTGATATTTCAGTAATAGCATTAATAATCGGCTCTTCTAACTCCATAATAGCTGTTACTGCTTGTGGCGGAGACTCGCTCTCGTTGGACAACCTTGCAATTTCTTTCTCCCTGTTGGACAAGTTTCAGAGATAATTATTATTTGACTAGAAATTTAGATAAATATTACGCCACTAAAATTTGAAAATAATAGGAAAATTACGCCAAGGAAAACTTGAAATAGAAATTGATTGATAAAATAACTTAGTAGATGAATGTGATAAATAAAATATATATATATATATGTATATATGAGATAAGAATAAATATTAACAAATATAAATTAATATTAACAATAATATTTTTGAAAAATATAATCCGGCATCTGCATTTTTTGGCTTTGGGGGGGGGGGGGGGGGGAGGGGATTTGTCCCCCTGTCCCCCCCGCTGCGTACGCGCCTGCCTGAATAAATTAAATAAGTTGATTCGATAAGACACCCTTAATTAATTTTTTATGAGAATTTTAAATATAAGCATCATTAATGATATTCTGAAATCACGATTATTTTTCCTTCTATAAGACATCAACGTAATATTCTATAAATGCATACGTCTTACAATTGTTATCAACATTTTAATATAATTACTATTCATTTAATGAGTTATTATTTAAAATCTTATTATCAGGTAAATATATAATGAGATAGTAAATTTACCTGAATGGGAATTAAAGGGTTTTATGGATTTATCAGGAAACATTACCCAAACGCATTTTTTAAGGCTGCATCAAATTCTAATGACATGAAGGCTGAAACAAAAGTAGATCATTTGTATATAGATGCAAATTTTTTGGTTCACAGTTGTAAAGCAATGTCCATGGGAAAAATTGACAAAGTATCATGGTTTTTAAAAATTTTCAGTGAAATTGATGATTTAATAAAATGTTTTCATCCACAAAATACAGTGTATATTGCATTAGACGGAGTTCCTCCTGATTGTAAAATAAATTTACAACGATCAAATCGATTTAAAAAAATGAAATCTATAACTAATAAAAATCGATTAAATTCAAATAAAGATAAAAACTCGTCATCTGTTTTATCGCCAGGAGCAGAACTAATGGCAGAAATTGTTATACAAATTGAAAGCTTTATTTATCTGAAAATGAATGTAGATTCATATTGGAAAAATTTAATCGTTATTTTATCTAATGCCAATACTCCAGGTGAAGGTGAAAATAAAATAATGAATTTACTGCTATCTCAAGAAAATATAAGAAAAAATGATTCCAATTTTTTAGTGGGTGGAGACGCAGATTTGATTGTTTTAAGTTTGATAAGACATGCCTTTAATAAAATATACATTATCACACCTGGTGAAAATAATAAATCTCGTTACTCAAAAAGAAATAATCATTACAGTTATTGTAGTTACTGTTCTAAATTTGGACATAAGGCACAATATTGCTCAACTTTCTCTCAATATGATAGTGATTCAACGCGTTCGGGATACAATACCGACGAAGAGCAAAGTAGTTCTGAAATTTTGAGTAGTATTAGTGAAAATATGCCATGTAATTCAGATTATGAAGTCGTCAATATCGAAAAATTAAAAATATACATCAAGGAAGATTCTAAGGGAATTGGCTTAAATATAGAAAATCAAAAGCTCTTGGACGATTTCGTTGTTTTAAGTTTTTTTTTAGGAAACGATTTTTTACCTAAATTGTATATCAATGACTCAAAATCGAATATATGTGATTTAGCCAAAATATATTCAAAGGTTCAAAATGAATCTAAATCATATTTAATTCAAGAAAGTAAAATAAACTTAACTTTTCTTTCAAAAATATTTATTGAATTGGCTAAAGATGAATCTTATTTTTTATCAAAATTGCGTAATAAAGAAAAAATCTATCAAGATTCTTCTGATTCAGATGATACAGAAAATGATAATAATGATAAGATATGGTACTATAAAAAATATTTTGGCGAAAAAAAAGTAAACTTTGGGTTCGAAGTAGCAAAGGAATATATAATTGGCATTCATTGGAATTTTTATTATTATTTTCATAAATGCAAATCATGGACATGGTTTTACCCATATAGGCTACCTCCTTTAGCCAGCGATTGCGTAAACATTGAAAATTTTCAAGATATTAATTTTAATCTTTTGGATGAAAATAATGAACCACTAAAACCATTAGAACACTTAGTTGCTGTGTTAAACCCTCAAATTAACCTGTATTTACCTAAATCTCTTCAATTTCTTAATTCAGAAAGTCGATCTAATATTATTGACATGTATCCTCAAGATTTTAAATTAATATATTTAAGAACAGAACCATCTCCACCAGTTGCCATGATACCGTTTTTAGAAAGAAATCGATTAAAATTTGAATTTATAGGTGTCGAGAATCAATTACAAAAGGATGAAAAAATTAGAAATGCTGTTGAGGTGGATCAATTGTTTTTAAATTATAATAATCAATTTTATCAGCAATATCTAAAAGCATATTTGGATAATAAGGACACCTTTTTAATTGGCAAAAATGACCGTATAAATGGAACTCTCAAAAAAATTATCGATTCACCTAAAATAAACGATAAAATACTATTAAACAATGAATTTTTTAATAGGATAACTTTACAGAATAAATTAATAAAATTTAATTATCTTTCTTCAATAAATTAAATACGAATACTATATAAATCTATATTTTTGTTCTTTTTTTAATTTCATGAAATATCCAAATTCATAATGAATATATGAGACTAATTTTTTATAAAATGAGGATATTTAATATGAAAATGATAAATATATCATTAATTAGTAGCAATATGATATGTATATAATATCTAACTTACGAATTCCATAACCCCTTTCAATGTTATACATCAATTTTACCTAAGAATTTATGGTATGTAGACTGTCTAAACCTAAATTTCTAAGTATGTATTTTTAAATATACATCGAAATAGGTCACCCAGGCACAGAAACCTGAAAGATTCGCATCATCAAACAAGGTTTGGCGTGATACTTGAATAAATTAATGGTTATCATTGAAGAAAAAATATGAAGGTTAAGATAAAACCGACCTCAAAAAAGATTAACGATTAAGTTATTGTTATTTAGAACATGTAGCGGTTACAAAAGCTATATTTAAAAAAACGAATGAATGAAAAATACAATAATGATTCCTTTCATTGTAAAATAGAAAATAAAAAAACACTTTTTGCAATGAAGATTGATTATTTTTTTTGATATTCAAAAACGTAGTAAATATTGGTAAAAATAATTCAAAACTATAAATTTTTACTGTTTTAAAAATATTGTTTTAAATTTACTTGGGTGATCAAAAATATTAAAATAATCCAACAGAGGACAATTATTAATTAATATTTCAAATAATTACCATTATAAATAGGAAAAAAATATAAGATTATAGTAGGCTAAAATTTGATAAATTTATTTAAATTCGAGTTAAAACCTCAGCCTGAAAATTAAATCTCTTTCAAATTAATCACCATCCTAAAAAATATAATGTAATGTTATTAAATGCGTTTTAAGAGTACGATAGTTCAGGAACACTAGTCTTTCTTACTTTTTTATGATAATATTATTCAATTATATTAATATAATATTAAAAATATTTTTTCTACAATAGCTTTTTTATTATACTAATACAGTAATAATATGATTTGTTGTAACACATTTTCATAATGTGAAAAAACATTCTTATATAGTTAAATAACTTTCCATAATTATTGTAAAAAACATTTTGATATAAATTAAATTTTTTTTAAAAGTTTTTAAACTTTAATGAAGACTAGCATCAAAGTTATGAATCAAATAGTTTTTTTTGGACACAAGTTTAAGTGGAAAAATGAGAATTCAAAAAAAAATTTTTAATAATAAAGTTCTTTGACTTTAATGAAGACTAACGTCAAAGTTATGAAACGAATATAGTTTTTTTTATGTTTTGGACATAAGTTTAAGTTGAAAAATTAGAATTTTAAAAGATATTATATAAAAAAAATTTTCTAAGATTTCTACAATACCTTTTTTAAATTTAAAGAATTATTCCAATATTCTAATTTTACTTTTAGTTATCCAAAGAATGGAAATCAGGATAAGAAAGTTGAATAATTTCTTAAATAAACATGAGTGAAAACTCGAATTTAGGGTTTTCAGATAATTCTTATTTGTTTAGAATTTTTTATGATCAATTCGAAACACCAAAATAAAAAAAAACCATTTGTTTATTTATTCTTTGTAAATAAAATATTACACAATATAAATCAATTACAAATTCAATCATTTAAAGGAATGCATCGAATTCCCTCTTCAATAAACTTTATGGTGTGAGAATAAAAATTTGAAATATGTAATATAATTGCCTAAAATACTCGTAACAATTGAAATAACTTCATTTCGGTTATTGGGTTTAGGAGAATTTGATCTATAGATTCTTAATTACTCCGAAAAAAAAATTTTCTATCGGATTTAATTGCGGCGAATAGGGTGGCAAAAATATGATATTTGGATAATTCTCACTAATTATCCTCGTTCGATGTATAGGAGCATTATCCATTATAAGTAATGAATTTGATGGTAAAAGTGCGAATAATTCATCCAGATATGCCTTGAATTTTATCGCAGTAAAAGCCCCATCTATTATTGTGAATTTTTTCAATCCACTTATTCCTATTGTGCATAGGTTACCGGAAGTTTTAAAAATATAATGTTTTTCTTAAAATTTTCTTTCAATTTTTTAAAAAAGGATGTATTTTTCTCAACAAGTTTTTACAATAATTATGGAAAGTTAAATTAAAGTGTCGGGGCTTCCGTTATGGGTAGAATGGTTGGTGGCACATCTCGATGATTTTTGGTATGCGTCATTTTAGGTTAATAAAAGCAACTACAACAATTAAATTTTATTTAATTTTAAAACCAAAAAAAAATATAAAAAATAAGAATTATCTGAAAACCCTAAATTAGAATTTTCTTTCACTATGTTAACTAAGAAATTATCAAATTTCTTATCCTGATTTCCATTCTTTAGATAACTAAAAGTAACATTAATATATTGTAATAAACTTTAAATTTAAAAAAATTTACAATACATTTAAAAAAAAATTATTCTAAAAATCTTGAAATTTTTTATTCTCATTTTCCCACTTAAACTTGGGTCCAAAACATAAAAAAATTATATTCGATTCATAACTTTGACGTTAATCTTCATTAAAGTTAAAAACTCTTATTATTAAAAAATTTAAAAAAAAATTATATCAAAAATTTTTAAACATTTTATCAAAATGTTTTTACAATAATTATGGAAAGTTATTTAACTATATAAGAATGTTTTTTCACATTATGAAAATGTGTTACAACAAATCATATTATTACTGTAGAAATAACAGCTGTTCAAGGTGTTGATAATATAGCACTAGCAGAAGATGATAATTAACTACTTTAGTCTTCATTTCCGATCAATAATTTAACTCAAATTAACCAATTTATATATTATCGTAAGATCTTTTTAGGCGCGTAGCCAGAGATTTTCTGTGGGAGGGGGTTAATTTTTTTAAAAATTGAAATGAATATTTTTTTAATATTAAAAATTTATTGTAACAATAAAATTTATTTAAACCAATAATATTTATAAAATGACAATTTGGAACACAAATAATATATTGGTAAAAAAACTATTTTAGAGCGAATATAATATTGTTAAAAATATTATAGCTATATAACCCGGTATGTAAATCACAATAAAGTATAGAATTAAATATTTATAGGATGATTTAAAGTTAATAAAAAATCGTTCATTATTGAAAACTTAATTTTATTTGCGATTGTTTTTCCAATAATTTGTTTTTTATTTGAGGATTAAATCTCTATCAATATTAAGTAAAGCTAGTCTGTTCAATTGATTTTATGATGTTATACTTCTGAGATTAGGTATTTATTCTAGCCCTCAGATGCATTTATTTATATGAATAAAATTGAGCGAAATATTTAATTGCAATATCAAGATTTAATACCTATGGATTTCTAGGTAATAGTATTTTTAAATTGAATAGCGGCCATTTTATTAATCATAAATCGTTCATTGATTTGAGTCAAAAATGTATCCAAAAGTGGAATAAAAACGGTCGTTCTATAGAAATCCTCAATTGAGTCCACATTAATATTGAAACCATTGTTTGCCTTGATGCAAGTTGAAGCTTGTCTCAAAATCATATAATCTTGCTTTCGTTCGACATTCACATGAATCTATTGAAAATATCAGTCAATATTATCTCTTAGTTATCTAGGTTATAATATAAATAATATTTGCATAAACACAGCCAAATCCATATCATTTTTTTGAAAAATATTGCAAAAAATTGTTCTATAATTAAATCATTTAGTAACACATCGCAATGCGAAAAAAAGCTGCCCTACTAAATCTAATAATGTATCAGCTATAGGTGTAATATCTGGTTCAGGATATTCTGATATTTCTTAAAATGCAATCAAATTTAGTGTTGTTAAACGGTTCGTATTGAGCCGATTTTTAAAAACGGCTAACTCAATATTTCATTCAGAAAAATATTACTCAAGCCTGAAGATTTTACTCATAGTAGGAACAAAGGTCTAGACATATATTAACGAAATCTCGAGGCTTAGGCAATATTTTTCTGGCTAAAATATTGAGTTAGCCGTTTTTAAAAATCGGCTCAAAACGAGCCGTTTAACAACACTAATCAAAATAGGCTCTTCTAGATCCAAAAAAGTTGACTATTCCGTCATGTTTTAAAAGAGACGACATCTATTTGAATTTCTTTCATGCTTATCTGACCCTTGCAACAACAGCAGAATCTAAACATCCATCTGCGTTTAGCATATCACCCAAACCAAAACTTTTCCACTTTTCCCAGGGTTAACCTATTGCCAATATCCAAATTACCATAATCTACATTGTCAGTATTATGTACTCTTTTTATGCGCTCAACAAATTAAGTCATTCTTGCCAACATAGGACTTATTTTTACCCTCTACATTTATTATGCACCCATTTCTGCCATCTGGTGCATTAGATTGAATTTCTACTAGCATCTCCTTTCCCACATACATCACAAGGAGGGTTGATGGATTCCTCCAGATTATCCCCACCAATCATCACCTTTGTTTTAACTGCATTCATTCTAAGGTCCTTTGTTTCCATAGCCATCTTCCATCAATTAATTTTATCCCTCACTTCTCTCTCACTGTTTGCCATTAGGTCATCTGCATATAATAGCTCCAAGGGTAGTCCTTCACGCATCTCTCTAGCCACCACATCCATCATCAAGATAGATATAATGGACCCACTACGGATCCTTGATGAAGTCTTACCTTCGAATCTTTCACTAACTCCATCATCCGTTTGTACCGCTGTTTGTGATTTCATATTCCTCACCATCACTGCCATAACCAACTATTTCCACACCTGATTTTCTCAAGACCCATCTAGTAAGCTCGATCGGCACCCTGTCAAATGCCTTCTCCAAGTTAACAAACGCATGATACAGTTTCTTTTCCTTTGCAAGATACTTCTTCTGTATTTGCACCACAAAAAATGCTCCAGTCGTGCCTTTCCCCGGTAAAACCAAACTAAATTTCATTAAATTTTGTTTGTTCCCTTATCCGCTTTTCTAACACCCTCT